ATGCATGCGTGTGTGTGCACACACACACACACCACAGGGTCGGGGGAGGGGGTAGATGACAGGCAGACAGAGGCCAACCCAGAGGTAGCCAAGTGACAGGGTTGAGAAAGGGAGACAGAGAAATATATGAACAGAAAGAAAACACAAACACATCAGGCATGGTAGCCATGCCTTTAATCCCAGCACTTGGGTGGCAGAGGCGGGAGAATCTCTGTGAGTTCAAGGCCAGCCTGGTCTACAAAGCCAGGAAGGACTGTCACACAGAGAAACCCTGTCTCAAAAAAAAAAAATCAAGGAAGAAGAGGAGGAGGAGAGAAGAGAAAAAGAAAAGACAGGCAAAGGCAAAGGAAGACAGGGAACTAAACCTAGCGAGGAGGATAGGACTAGACAAATGCAACCCAAGAGAGCAGCACCCCAGAGGAGAGATGGGGGGGCAGCATGGGAACCTAGGAAAGCTATGTGAGAGGAGTGTCTGGAGCTCTGCGGATTTTGGCTTACTGGGAGCAAGTCTAACATCCAGATCACTTCAGGACCCAGACCAGGCAGAGAGCAGGAGAGAGCTCAGTGCTTAGCTTACGTGACACAGGCACATTGGGAATGTGTTGAAGGCAAATGGAAACCTTCCTTGGAGGGGAGGCTGGTCAGTGACCACCCAGGATCCCAGAGGTACACCACTGTTCTCTCACAGAACCTGGGCCACCTGCCCAGGATGGCCCTCAGCCCGCCTACTGCAGCTCAGCCCACCCCGCCTACCCCCAAGGTCCCATTTCCCTCATCCTCCTTTCCTGATGTCCCTTCTCCCTTAGTTGCTTACTTCTCGGTCTTCTGGGGACATGTTTGCTCTGCTCAGCCACTTACTAACCGGGCGAAAATGAATGCTGTACCACCAAGTTCCCTGATTTGGGGCTGGGTGTTCCTCCCTTAGCCCCACCGAAGCCTGATTGGCCTAGCCTCTTTAAGACACATTTCATGTCTTACCTGGAAGCTCATAAATACCCAACAGAGACTGGAGGGGCTGTGTAACAAGCCTAGATCCCTACAGCATCCCCCTTTAAAGTCCTTGGGTTCCTCTCAGGTTCCTCTTTTCTCCCCAGATACCTGCGTGGTGTAGCAGGGTGGCAGGGCAGGAGGTGGGGCACTGGGGCTGCTGTAAACCCTCTTCAATTCAAATGGGACCTGCCTTTGCCTGCAAAGAAAGCTCAGGAAAGGCATCTGGGGGGCCCCTGTGTAAGTAGCAAGCTCAGGAATTCCTTGACTTTCATCCAACCCCCCCCCACCCCCGCGGCAACCCCTTCTTGGCCTTTCTCTCTCTCTGCTCATGACCATCCACACCGCCCCCCCCCCATCCACCAGGAAAGAGAAGGTCATCGCCAACCAGGGCCCCAGGGAAAGGGGGTTTTCTGGAAGATAAGCCAGGGTGGAATCAGAGCTGTTCACCCACAACCCAACTCCCTTAGCTCATCTCCACTCCCATCCAAAGGCAAGTGGCAATTTAAAGTCAGTTCAGCACCACACAAAGTAAAGGAGAAACCTTGGCCCTAAGTGGCCTCAGTAGAGATCAGAGCCTCAAGTGAGCTATCAAAGCTGAGAGCGGAATCTCCTCCTTAGCTACTCTTTTTAAGGAGAACAGGGGAGTATGGTGGCACTGCCAGGTAGAGAGATGACTTGGAAACTGTCTGCAGTAGGTCCCAAGGAATTTGACATTGTGTGTGCACATGTGTGTCGCTAAGGGATGGGTAGGAGGGGGGCAGCCTGAAATCCCTTGGGTCTCTGTTATTACTACTGCTCATTATATCTGCAGCACACAGCCTTGAACCCAAACCAGGCTTCCATACCACCTAAGGCCTTCTCCTCTGTTTCCTTTGGGATACCGTCACCAGCAGTAGGCACAGAGTAAGTGCTTACTAAATTTAACCTGACCTTATGCAGGGTCCCCCAGACCAGTGTCTGACTCTCAAAGCAGAGACTTCTCCCAGGGGTGGGGGATGGGGATAAGCTAGAGGAGCAAGGCTGAGCCTCCACCCTTGACCCTCTCTCTCTGGAACCCTGTAACAGGCCCTTGCGTGAGGAGCTGAGCTCTCCAATAGTGTCTAGGACCTCGAGACTGGAAGTTTATTTTGAGATTTGAAGCTCCAAAGTGGCAGATCCCAGAAAACCTCTTCTCTGGCTCCGTATTTGTTCTCTAGTTAAGTGGTTGAGTGCTCTCGCTGGCTCCTGCAGCCTGGGGATCTGGGGACTGGGTCTGGTAGAGGGGGAGAAGGAGGACGGGATGGAGGGAACAAAGTTCCATCCTGGGTTTCCTACTCTAGAGCAGAGGTTGGCCTGTAAGCCATGAGGAGTCTTGTCTCTTCGGTCCCCTCCCTTCTTCTTGGAGCTGCTGATGTTTTTGGGGGTGGGGGCTCATATCAGAAATATACTTTAAGAGTTGAGCATTTGTGTGTGCCAAGACTTGGTCCCACTCAGCTATGAGGATAGCTGGAGCCAAAGAAGGGGCCTCAGAAGCGACTCTGGGGCCCATGTGGGTGAGTCCACCCAAAGTTCGATGCAATCATCTCCAGCTCCCATCCCCAGGCTCATACGTACAAATAAACACAGGGCCAGAGTCACACCCAGGTCTAAACACACAGGGGAGTCTGGGAGAGGCGTCCAAGCTGGAAGACTTAGGCCCTGCGCAGGGGTGGAGCTGGACTAGGAGGAGGTAAGAGTCCAAGGAAAGGGCCTGGAATCACAGTCTCCTCACCTGCTGCCTGCGAGTCCTTTCCTTACTAAAGACATTGCAGACTAACAGGGATGACAGAAGGGGAGGGAAAGGACACTGGCCAGTTGCTGGCTCCACGCGCTCTGAATTCACCCTTTCCCCTTTCCCATCCAGAGGCAGCCCAACCCCACTTACACCCACACAGCCCAATGGTGGTGGGAACCATTTTCCCCCACCTTAGCTCACCCTCCGTTTACTTACCTGAACTTTATTCTTCCTCTCCAGGGCACGCCACTCCATTTGGCTGACCCCTTTGATGGCCCCTCTACACCAGCCCACTCCCATCTGGGGTGTCTATTGACTCTCTCCTTGCGAGGCTCTACCTCACAATCTTCCCTGCTTAGTTCCTGCCTCCTCACTTCCTCTCATCGCTATCACAGGGATGAGGCCCTTTTACCCTGCCCTCTTCCACATTCCATATGTTTCATTTCTAACACTTATTCTCTATCTTGCTCAATAAAATGTAAGCTCCATGAAGGCAGTGTGTTGTGTGTGTGTGTGTGTGTGTGCGTGTGTGTGTTCTCCGAGCCCAGCACAACCCTAGCAGATAAAAGGAGATATTTGTGGAATTGATGCATATACTTGGCCTCTTACCACACAAACTTCGGGCAAAGGACGGAGCTGTGGGAGAGAGGGCGGACACCCCCTGAACTTTTCTCTCTTCTCTGTCTCTGAGATGTCTGCAGCCAGCTGTGCCCTGTCCTTCACACTCCAGCATCTAACACCCCCGACCAAACAAGGACTGCCTGACAGTGAGCTTGGGGTTAAGGTGGGTGGGCAGTCACCAGCATGATGTTTACATCAGGACTTTATAGTTTAGATAAAATCATGAGGAGAGGCACGAGAGACACCTGGGAATGGGAGGCTAGGCAGGAGAAACTGAGGCTGAAGGTCAGACTCTAGAGGAAGTCTTCAGTTGAAAGGCTCAGGGTTTTAAAGAATTTTTTATGCTTCAGTAAGGATCATTGTGCCCCCCCCCCCCACACACACACACGGGGCTTCTTCTTCCCACCCAGGGAAGGGCGAGCCCGTTGTGAGGTGGGGGCGGGGTAATAGAAATGGAGCAAGGAGTCATTTTCAGCCCACAACACCTCTCCACCTCTTCCCAACTTCCCACCCCCACCCCCGGGCTCTGCGGGATTGACGGAGAACCAGCGAGCAGCGGAGAAGAGGAAGGGTGGAAAGGGAGGGGAAGAGAAGGCATCAGGGCTTCCACTCTCTCCGCAGGACCCCCACCCCGGCCTCTAGTGCGGGAAAGCCGCCCAGCTGTTTCTGATTCTTTCCTAGTCGCAGCTCCGCCCGAGGGGGTGGGGGACGGAGATACCGGGGGAGACCGAGCTCGGCCGAGCCCCAGTCGGCCGTCAGGGCGACCGCAGCATCCCGCCGGCAGGTGTGTCTCTTGGGCAGCTTCACGACCCTGAACTGGAGAAAGCACCTAGGATTGATAGGAGCTGGGTTTCAACTATGTACGGGACGAAAGAATAGTGTCGGTGTAGTGGGTAGGAGAAGCGGGGGGGCGATGAGCCCTTGATGAGCGAGTCCCCCGCCCGAAGCCGACTGCCCACGGCGCCCGAAGGCAGAAGGCAGCGTGGCCAAGGGAGTCCCGCTGTCTGGCAACTCTGGCTGGCCGGTTGTCTATCCGTTTCCCAGAAGCGCAAGGATAGGAAAACCTTTGGAAAGCGCATCTTCTGTGCTTAGCTGAGGTTTCACCGTAGTTTAGGGGGCGAGGAGTGTCCGCGACCCTCCCCCCACCCCACGCACTGGGTGAGCCTGGCCACCAAACCCAGCGGTCCGCGCTGCTGAGTGAAGGGCGCTAGGACCCGGAGGCGTGGCGTGGCGTCGGTAGGGACAGGGGGCTGCAAGCGGAGAAGAGCCCCGTCGCGGGTGGCCGGAGCAGGTGAGGGCGCGGCACGGTGGCGCTCGGTAAAGCCGAGGGGGAGGAGGCAGCCGCCACACCTAGGGCGCCGCGAGCACCCGGGCTGGCGCGGGCGGGGCCGAGCTGAAGGCCGCGCGTGTCCCCGGCCCCGCCCCGCCCCGTCCAATGAGAGCTGCGGCCGCAGGGGCTGTCCGCGTGCTCTGGCCCCCGCCGCACTCCGCGCTCCGGAGCCACTGCCACCGCACCCGAGCCGCCCACACCCAGCTCAGCTCTCGTCGGTCTCCCACCCTGCAGCTCGGGAGCTCTTGGGAACTCTGTGCCCCGTTCCCGGACTCCACGTGCCCCGCGGTCCCCGGTTGTCCATAGTCCCCATGGCCACCCTGAGGGGCGAGCTAGGAGACGCCTGAGGAAGCCCAGACGGTACCCGTCCACGGCCCTGCGGGCTGCACGGCGGGAGTCTACACGGAGCTATGCTGAGGCCGCGGGGTGCGGAGGAAGCCGCGCAGCTCGCCCCTCGGCGTGCCCGCGTCCTGGTCCCCGCATCCAGACCCGCGGCTCCCGACGTGTCTCCGGCTTCCACCCGCCTGGGTCTTGCCTGCCTGCTACTGCTGCTGCTGCTGACTCTACCGGCCCGTGTAGACACATCCTGGTGGTGAGTGTGGCTCTTGGACGGTTAGGCTCAGGGAAAGAGTGTCCTGCTGCAGGCACCGGCTGCTCAAGCACCAGGTAGCTGCCTGGGTGGAACCTGAGGGACAGTCCCAAAAGTCTCCAGTGGCTGGTGAGGGGATGGAGAGAATGAGGCGCTGGAGAGAAGAGCGCTGAGCATCTGGAGCGAGGTAGCTGGTGGTTGACGTCCCCTAGACTGCTATATTGTGCCCCCTGTGTTTCTCCTCAAGCCCCTAGCACGGAAGCTACTATCTGATTCTCAGGGTTGGTTCGAGAAGCCAGTCTCCTCTCCACATCCTGCAGTAGCTGCTCCACGCCGTCCACAGTCGCTGCCTTCAAAAAGCCTTCGACCACCTAAGGTTTCCCCAGGGGATGTGGAAGTTGGGGGCAGCTGGCTGGGACCCACATTCCTCTGCTAGTCTAGGCCACACAACGAGGCAGTAGTATCCACAGCAAGGCTTAGAAGTGAAATTGAGGCACAAACTATTCCCTTTCCCCTTAATTTCCACAATTGAAACAGATTAAACACTTGGGGTTGCATAACCCAGGCATTTGTCATCAGCCTCGGCTTTGAGGGTGTAATTTTGAACACTGATGTCCCTTTTTGCTTTCCTGCCCCAGATGACCTAACCTTCCACCTCTCCCCTCCAAGCCCCAGAGGCTTCTAAAGTCTCGGAGTTTTGAGAGCCTTTCTTCAGATCTCTTGTAGGCCTTGGTCTTCAGACACTTCCAAAAGGCAGATGAGGCAAAAGGTGTCCAGGATCCACCGGGTGCCTGCTGTGTTCTTGGTTGAATTCCCTACCCAGCTCCAAGACTCCTCCAGCCCCGCAATGACACTCATCCTCTTCCCAGAAAGGGGGTATTTCAGTCCAGAATTGGACTGCAGAAGGATTCAGTCCCCTCATCTCTTGCCTCCTCACCCCTCCGATCAAACTGGCTTTGGGGGCTGCACTTGTGCCCCTCTCTAACAGGCAGTGCTCCCTTTCCCCCTTGCTCTGCTCCTCCCCCGAAGGAAGCACCCCCATCTCACCCCCCCCCCACCTCCCGCAAAGTGCGGTCTCTCCTCTTGCATCCTGTGGCTTTTCTTGTCTTGACTAGGAATCCGGGCTGGAAGGGTGAGGGGTAGCTGGCTGAGGGGCAAGCCGGCTCTGGCTGCAGATTCCTATCATTTCAAGATGCTGCGCTCTCCATCCCCACCCCCACCCCTGTTTTCCTGTTAAAGAAAAATCTTTCTTTTGGATCTTTTTTATCTCTGCAGTGTTGGGGAAGGCAAGGAGGGGGGTTCGGATGGGGAAACAGAGAGGCCTATATCTTTCATCTGGCTTGAAACATTCCTTTAGAAGGGGAAAGAGAAAGAAAGAAGATGGGGCGGGGAACCTTTCAGTGACCAGAGCAAGATCACCCCCACCCCTCCCAGCCTTTACCTTTATGGCGCAGTTTGGCTGAGGGCTTACATCTTCAGGGTCTCTGTGGAGAAAGCACGGCAGCACCGAGTACCCAGTGCCCACCTTTATCTGGCTCGCATGTTAACTGGCTCTTTGAAACACTTGAGACAATCTGGTGACCTGTGGATGCTTAGATGAGGAGGTGGCTCTCTGGACATCTCCGCATCCTGGTGTGGTTCCTATAGACGCACCTGCAGCTCTTCTAGTTCCCATCCTCCCCCACTTGAGTACTATTTTCCCTGTCCCATTTTCTTTCTCCTTCCCTCCTAGCGTAGCTCCCGTTAAAGATGCTGGACCGGCTACTACATGGAAGAGCTAGAGAGGGAGGCAGGTGACAGTGGGACTGAGTGGCTCTTCTATTCCTGTAGACAGCATCAGGGCAGGATAACAAATGCAGGGTCAGAGCTCATTCCCACCTCCTCGCCCTCATCCCGGCACAGCTATAGCCAAAAGCGTCTGTCTCAGTGGCCACCACTTGTAGGAGGAGGACGCCTGAATTGGGAAGGCAGGTCTGGCACCCAGGATGATTATCTCAAGCTCAGCAAGGCTAGTACTATGTACAGTCCCTGGAGGAGACAGACATCTATTGACTCAGAGTGTCTGTGTTTGACAGCAGAGCAGAGGGCCATCCATCCCTGTGACTTACCGTCTGATCTTCACAGCCTAGGATTTCCCCCTTTCCTCTCCAATGACTCCTCTGTCTCTTTTCTTAACTCGAAGAAGATAAAGATAGTTTCTTCTCAGTCTATGGCAAGACATGTGGAGAGTCCCAAGAACTAGATGTATTCTTGGGCTCATAAAGAGCGCATAGAGCAGGGTTGTTTTAGTACTACCATTACTAAACGCACACCCTGCACTGAATCTTTACTAAACTGCAGGCTCCATAGCCAACTGCCTTGGTAGGCATCATCTTTATTCTCCAGGATAAGTCTGAGGTAGCTACTGTTATAATCCCTGTTTCACTAATGACGAGATTGAGAGGTAGGGGTGAGGCCAGGTGGTGGTGGCGCACGCCTTTAATCCCAGCACTCGGGAGGCAGAGGCAGGCAGATCTCTGTGAGTTTGGGGCCAGCCTGGTCTACAAGAGCTAGTTCCAGGACAGGAACCAAAGCTTCAGAGAAACCCTGTCTCGAAAAACCAAAAAAAAAAAAAAGAAAAAAAAAGTGAGAGATAGGGGCGAAAGAGAAAACAAAACAAAAACAACTTGCTGGGTATGGTGGTGCACACCTTTAATCCCAGCACTTGAGAGGCAGAGGCAGGTGGGTCTTGGTGTGTTGCAGGCCTGCTTCATCTATGTAGTAAATTTTAGGTCAGCCAGGGCCACAAAGTGAGACCCTATCTCAAAAAACTGCTTAATTTTATATCAATTTTGGAGCTTTATGGTTTTATTTCTAAACAAACATGTGTGCCTCTCTTGCTCCTAGAACAAAAAATGGATTTTGCCTGGGTATGATGATACACTTTTGTAATACCACCACTCGGGAGGCTGAGGCTAGGGGATCAAAACTTTGAGGCCGTCCTTGGATGTACAGTGAGACTCTGTCTCAAAGAAACAAAACAACCAATTACAAAAGCCCCCGAGTTTTGAAGTCAGATGGCTTCCCTCATCCTGGTTTCCCCCCAAGTGTCCCTTGACAGTGGGATTTCCATCAATATCCCTGAACCCAGAATGCAGAGATTTCCCTACGCCACATCCTGTGGCATCCTCTTGGTGGTTTGCTGTTGTTTTTGAGACAGCGACTCACTATGTATCCCTGCCGCCCTGGAACTCTACAGAGAGCTTCAAACTCACAGAGATCTGCCAGCCTCTGCCCTCTGAGTGCTGGGATTAAAGCTGTGATCGCCACTACCAGCTAAATTCTAAAGCTTAGCCAGTGGATAAACACAAAAGGAGGGGGCAGAGATCCCTGGCTCCATTAAAAGGACATAAACAGAACGTCTGCAAAAGGGTAGACAGTGTTGACAAGAAACCAAACTAACTCATTTCAAGAGCTGGTGACTGGCTAGGGGGAGAAGGAAGCTGGGGATAATCAGAACAAGCTGGTGTTTATCCACTAGCTACTAAGCACCTACTATGTGCTAGAGACATTTCTCTGCACTGGGGATGCTGACATGCCAATTATGATTCAGTTGACCTAGAGGCAGAGTCTAAGACTCCCAAGAAGCAAGAGGCTGGTGTAGGGTCTGAGGACTTTGTCAAGGGAAAGAATTGGTCAAAAGCAGGTGAAGAGAGCACTCTGATGCAGAGGTGGGGAAGGAAGTGAAGAATTAATTTCTGAACCGTAAAACAGGAAGTCAGGACTGAGGCATCCTCCCCTAAATGATGAGCTGAGGGATGGCATGAAGTCTTTGTGCCCCTAACAGCTAAGCTCAGTGACTGGCCCATGGCAGGCACTGTGCAAGCGTGCACATGGTAGGCGTCGTGCAAGCATGTGTTGAGCTGAGGGAAGGCATTGTGCAAGCCTGCACATGGTAGGCATCGTGCGAGCTGAGGGAGATGCATTCAGCTTCAGGCTCAGTATTATTGGCGGTTCCCACACTTGATTACAAGAGGCAAACCCCATGAAGGGTCTTGAAGTAGTTACTTGGGAAGTAAGCAGGGTAATAGGAAAGTCTAATTACCTTCCCATCTTAGATACTGAACAGATGTCCCATGCCCACTGAGGATGCAATACGAAGGATCAATGTGGGCTACAGCAGAATGGATTAAAGTCAGACCACAGGAAGGCCCTTTTGCCAGAGTTTGGCTTGCCCCACTCCAGACTGTCTATGAGGGCTGGATCATTGGTCTCCCACTCCTATCCACCCGCCTTCCTCCAAGCCCCAGATAAAAAAACAAATACCCATTGCCTAGATCAGTAATCTGGGACTGAGCTGGGGAAGCTGACCGGTGGTGAGACAGGGACGAGCTCCAACTCCGATGGTTTCAGTACTACAAACAAAGCACCAGGGCGGTGGGCGGACGCAGAGCTGTGCGTCAGGCAGGCCTTTCCGGCCTGGCCCAGCCTGAGCTGTTTATTTTGTTTGTTCCTGGAAGCTGCTGCCCTGACGGACAGTGCTGGGGATGCTGATTCCACGGGATTTGTTCTTGGAGGAACAGCCCTCTAGCCCTCCGCCCTGGACAGATGGGGCTCATCACCCCCGCTGAGTTCCCCAAGAGGCAAATGGCAACCCTCCTTGTGTTTGCCTGAGTTCCTGTCACTGGTGGTGATCTAGTCTGTGGGTGAGGGCCGGCTGTGGGAATGTAGGGTGGGGGTAGGGCTCAGGGCTGGTTGGCTTGCCCCTCCCCTACTGGCTGCTTTCCCTTCTCCCTACTCAAGTCTAGGCCCACTTTGGGGGCATTCCCAAACCACTGGCTCATTCATAGTTCAGACCAAAGTTCTTCTGTTGCAGTAGCAACTGATTGCTACAGCTCCCACCTGTTCCCAACAGGAAAGCATGGAATTCCATTTCAAGTGTCGGTACAAGAGAATAGAACATGCTGGAAAGACCAAAGGAAGCGCTATGTGGAGGGTGCACTGGGGGCGGGGGAAGGGGGGCAGAAAGGAGAGAAGCTAAGCTGCAGAAAGGGAGGGAATGAGTCCTATTTCTTTGTGGGATTTGTTGGGGACGAAGGGTGATATCATCCTGTTTTCTCTCCAGAATCTCTTGAGGCCATGGTGGAGTCCATGGGTAAGATTGTTTGAAAGGAAAGGTAATACTGCCTTGGGCAGTGGTTTTTGTTTTTGTTTGGGTTTCTCTGTAGCTTTGGAGCTTGTCCTGGAACTAGCTCTTGTAGACCAGGTTGGCCTCAAACTCACAGAGATCCCCCTGCCTCTGCCTCCCGAGTACTGGGATTAAAGGTGTGCACCACCACCACCCGGCACCTAGAGCAGTTTTGAATGATGCTGGCAGCCCACCGATCCTTCAGTGGCCATCTCGCTTGACCTTGTAAATTATTCAGACTAGAGATTATACCACACTGCTTATTTCTTTAAAGAGATGGGGTCTCACTATGTAGCCTTGCCTAGAACTCTGTGTAGACTAGGCTGCCCTGGAGCTCAGCGAGATCTGCTTGTCTGCTGTGTCCTGAATGTGTGGCATCCTGCCTGCTGAACTCTTACTACTTTGTCCTGTTCGGGCTTCCCGCTGCTGCAAACAGCTCTTTGTCCACAAAGGTCTTCACTGGACCTTGTGCCTTAAAGGTTGGGGAAAGTGATTTTAAAAGCTTCATTGAAGAAAGGCTTTAGGGCCTGGGAGTGAAGAGAGTGAGGAGGAGGGTAAAGAATGGGTCTTGCTCTGTAGCCTTGGGATTGGAAGTGAGGGTTTTTTTTTTTTTTTTTTTTTTTTAGCCACATGGGCCAAAGCTGTGAGCATTACTCAAAACTACCCATGGTGCCTTTCTTGGCCCCCCTTCTCTCCATCCTCTGTGGCCAAGCCATCTCCTAGACCAGCCACTTGTGCATGTAAGAGAGTTGTCTCCGATTCTCATTTTGTTAGTTTATTTTTCTGCAAGGATCTTAATGTTTATTAAATAAACAGGCAGTGGGTTTGTATGACATGCCCACAGCTTCTGTGTATATGACACATGCCTGGTCTGTGTTTTAGAAGTGTCTGTTACTTTGTTTGGCTAGGGAACTGGTAATGGTGGGAGACCACTCAATTACTCTTTCTGCAACTGTGGAGCTTTTTTTTTTTTCTTTCCAGAGATTGTGGGTAATGGTTCTCCCCACCAGCCTCAGAGAATGTCTTGGGAAGGGAAGGGATGTCTTTAAGGTCTAGATACCAAATAACCCCCTCTTTATCCCTTTGCTGATGCCCGTCCCCTTTTGGAATGACTCCACTTTACAGGTACATAGGGGCACTGGGAGCCCGAGTGATCTGTGACAACATCCCTGGTTTGGTGAGCCGGCAGCGGCAGCTGTGCCAGCGCTACCCAGACATCATGCGTTCAGTGGGTGAAGGTGCCCGAGAATGGATCCGAGAGTGTCAGCACCAGTTCCGCCATCACCGCTGGAATTGCACCACACTGGACCGGGACCACACTGTCTTTGGCCGTGTCATGCTTAGAAGTAGGGTCCTCTTCCATGTTCCCCCCTCCCTTCCCTTCCTTCACTTGGGGTGGTGAGTTAGAAGGGTAGGCATGATCCCCTTCATTTTCCTACACACTACCTCATAATCTAAGGAACAGTTGTGGGAAACCCTGGAAACAGCAACAGCTGCTCATTACCCTAGATTTGTAAGCCAGGGCCCCTCTCAACCTAAGTGCTTTGAAATGGTGGGTCAAGGACAGCATTCCCTGATACTTCCATCTTTCTCTTCCCTTCTCTGACCTCCCCATATCCAAGTCAGGCAAGCATCCATCAACTATACAACTAAAGACTAGGACCCAGTCCTCTGCTTCTTATCACTTTGGTCACTATCATCACCCAGTCACCCTAACAGTCCCAGCATCATAGTAATGGGAACAAGAGATAAACAGAAAGGTCATATGTAAATATTCCAAGGGCTAGTGGCTCACCTCCAGTTCAGCAGAGCTGGACAGCAAAAGAGAAGAAAAGGAATGAGACAGGACTCCGAAGGAGAAGGAGAACCGGGGATGATGAACATCGGTCCCCAAGGTCAAGGAGCGAGCAGACCAGAGCAGGCTAAAGGCTAAAGTTAGAATGTTTCTCTGAATAGGCTGACCCCCTGGGTAGGGGTCGACGGTGCAGGGGAACTGTCCAGCAGAGGGGATCTGAAAACCCTGGAATGTTGACCAAGGCAGGACTAATATTCTCTCTCTCTCTTTCTCTCTCTCTCTCTCTCTCTCTCTCTCTCTCTCTGTGTGTGTGTGTGTGTGTGTGTGTGTGTGTGTGTGTGTGGTGTGTAAGAGAGAGAGAGAGAGAGAGAGAGAGAGAGAGAGAGAGAGAGAGAGAGAGAGAGACAGACCTAGGGGAAACAGAACGGAGGTCATCCCAAAGAGGTCAGATGATAGTGACTAGTGAGAGCTGGCAGGAGGGGCTGGCGTCTCCGAGGAATGCTCTTATAAGAGAAGGACACCTTGATAAGTGGAGTAGGCTCCAGAAAAGCTAAGGAAACTTCTGAAATTGTGTAGATTGACTGGACAGAGTTGGGCATGTGGCCTGTCCCTGCAATCCTAGCATTAGGGAGGCTGAGACAGGAAAACCTCAGGTTCAAAGCTGGTTACATTACAAATTCCAGGCCTGGACCATTGAATAAGACACTGTAGAAAACACCTGGAAATGTGCGCGCGCGCGCGCGTGTGTGTGTGTGTGTGTGTGTGTGTGTGTGTGTGTGTGTGTTGGAAGAACGGAAGACACAGACCGTTCCCGTAACATGTCTCTGCCTCTCCCCGTGCAGGTAGCCGGGAGGCCGCGTTTGTTTATGCCATCTCGTCAGCAGGAGTGGTTCACGCTATCACTCGGGCCTGTAGCCAGGGTGAACTGAGTGTGTGCAGCTGTGACCCATACACCCGCGGTCGGCACCATGACCAGCGAGGGGACTTTGATTGGGGTGGCTGTAGTGACAACATCCACTATGGTGTCCGCTTTGCCAAGGCTTTTGTGGATGCCAAAGAGAAGAGGCTTAAGGATGCCCGGGCCCTCATGAACCTGCATAACAACCGCTGCGGTCGCACGGTCAGTACTCCCATCTGGGTCTGTCCGTTCATATTCTCTGGGGTCAACCAGCTAGCGTGACCACAGGCTGGAGTCAGAGGTGGAAGGGTTGACAGCTTCTGGATCGCGTCCAAAATCCCTAACGTTCTGCCACAGAATGCAGGAAGCCTGCAATACACAGGTTCAGCCAGGTTTTCCTAAGACAGGAAAGGAACTTTCTCTTTTTTCTGCCCCCTCCCTTCTCTTCCCTTCTCATTCCCTCCTCTCCCTTCTCCTTCCCTTCCTGTTGCCTTCCTTTTTGTTTTCTTTTGGGGGGGTGTTGTTTCTTTGTTTTTGAGACAGGGTCTATGTAGCTTTGGCTGCCCTGGAACTCAATATATAGATCAGGCTGGCTTTGAACTCACACAGATCCACCTGCCTCTACCTCCTTAGTGCTGGGATTAAAAGTGTGTACCACCATGCCCCACCTTGCTTTGCTTGAGACAGGGTTTCACTCTGCCTATAGTCTAGGCTGATCTTAAATTCTCCTGTCTCAACCTCCTGGGTGCTGGGATTATATGGGCATGCCACCATGCTGAACAAAAAAGTAAACTTTCAATTTTTAAAAATGTGATTTGTCTATGATTGTGCGTCCACATGTGCATACATGGATGTACATGTCTGTGCTTTCTCAGAGACTAGAGGAGGATGTCAGGTGTCCTGCTCCGTCACTCTCCACCTTATTCCCTTGAGGCAGGGTCTCTCACTGAACCTGGAACTCAAGTCCCAGCAATCTTCCTATCTCCAATCCTTCTGTTTCTGTCCCCATCCCCATCACTGGGACAACAGGTAGCCCATGTGCTGCCAAGCCTGGCTTTTTACATGGGTTAAACCCAGATTAATTTTTTTAGTGTGGGGGGTGGTTCGAGACAGGGTTTCTCTGTAGTTTTGGAGCCCTTCTTAGAACTTGCTCTATAGACCAGGCTGGCCTTGAACTCACAGAGATCTGCCTGCCTCTGCCTCCTGAGTGCTACGCCACCACTACCTAGCTTTAAACCCAGGTTCTTATGGGGACAGTAAGTGTTCCTACATGCTGAGCCATCTCCCAAGTCCCAAAGTAGCTTTTAATTTTTTAAGTTTTAATTTCTTTATTGTTGTTCTGTGTGCATGCATGATGTATATAGGTGGACATGAATGGCATGGTACCTGTGTGGAGGTTGGAGGACACCTCTGTGGAGCTGGCTCCCACCTTTCACTTGCATGTGGGTTCTGGGGATCAAACTGGTTGCCAGGACAGCATGGCAAGTGCCTTTCCTTGCTACCAGCATCACTGGCCCAAAAGTAGTTTGTTTTTAGAGGAAAACCTTCCTGCATAAAGACCTTCAGGTATTGCTTTAGGCTATTCACTGGTATTTGAACACCTGCTATATAGCAGAAGGCATGGCGCTGGGCTCTTTAAAAGGATGTGTAGGCTGTAATCAGGAGCAGAACCCTGCGGTTGGACAATCCAGCAGGCAGTCATCCAGGAAGATGTCCTAGAGGTCAGAGAAGGGGTGGGATCCAGCAGAGGGCCAGCAGAGCCCTGAACACTCCTGCTTTTGACCCTAGGGATGACTGAGCCGTGTCCTGACCTGCTTCCTCCCTCCCCCAGGCTGTGCGTCGCTTTCTGAAGCTGGAATGTAAGTGTCACGGCGTGAGTGGCTCCTGCACACTACGCACCTGCTGGAGGGCACTCTCAGACTTCCGCCGCACTGGTGACTACCTGAGGCGGAGGTATGATGGGGCTGTACAGGTGACCGCCACCCAGGATGGCGCCAATTTCACAGCAGCCCGCCAAGGCTATCGCCATGCCACCCGGACTGATCTGGTCTACTTTGACAACTCCCCTGACTACTGTGTCCTGGACAAGGCTGCAGGTGAGAAAGCGGCAAGCAGAGAGAGACGTGGGACCTGGTGATTAGTGCCAGCGCTCCTGCTTAATCTGGGTCTGTCCAGTGTGCAGGAGTTCAGGAAGGGAAACAATCTAGTCTTGAGATAGGTGGTTTGTGCCTCAGGCTGCCAGGCCCGAGGTTACACAAACAGGTCCCGTGCCACTCGGCTACATCCCCAGGGTCTGGGATACTACTTGGAGAACATTTAAATGAGCCACCTGTTTTCAGTTCTGAGCAAGGAGAGCTACACAGAAACATCAGATGTAGCTCTAAGCCTCTGGCTTTTTTACGATCTAGCTAAACAAAGAAGATGGAGCTGGGGATGGAGCTCAGCTGATACAGCATGTGCTTCGTGTGTGCAAGGTCCTGGGTCTGACACCCCACCCCTTATTAGCCCCCTCAAAGGCGACATAGTAAGCAAAGGTACTACAAAGATGACTAGCTGGACGATGGTGGCCATACCTTTAACCCAGCACTCTGGGGGCAGAGGCAGGTGAATATCTAAGTTCGAGGGCAACCTGGTCTACAGACAGGACTACATAGAGAAACTGTCTCAAAAGCCCCCCCCCCAAAGGAAGATGAGCAACGCAGTCAAAGAAGGTTTGTTTGAACTTGGGGAGTCAAGCTGCTTCTTGATGTGCTGCCACTGCAGATTCCAGCAGTGAGGAAGACAGGAGGTGACCCCTGCAAAGGCTGCTGAAGCAGCAAACACTTGGTAACAAGCTTTACGGCCGTTTTCAGCCGGTTCTATGTATGTGCAATGCTGGGCAAGGGGCCTTGGGAACAGTGCAAAGTGACAAGGTGTTTCTGTGAGAATGGAAGCTCCCATCTTGGCTCGTGATTTCTGGTCTAGGTAAGTTAAACCAGGGATAGTGTGTGGCTCAGTGGAGCTGCTTCTCTCCTGGTCCCTGTCACTGGGCTCCCCGCTCTTTGCTGGAGAGTCACTAGTCAAGATTCGGTAGCCACCCACCTTGGCTGGCTTCACTCTCATCATTTCAGCCCAGAGGGGGTGGCGCTCCACTGGATAGTGGAAGGTACATGTGCAGTTTGTAGTACTAGAAGTAAGAAGGGTTGGGGAGGCTCTCTGGCCTCTTCTAGAGACGTACTCTCGTGAGTTAGTTTTTCCATGTGTTCTAACTCAGAGGGTTAATCTCTGGACGCCTGGGAATAATTCCACAGTGCCTGAAGTGTAGACCTGTTTCACATTGCTGAAATGTACCCTCGGAGAAGGATCTTTGGAGTTAGGAGGAAGGACAAGTCATATGCATATGAATTTTTCTCAGAGGCATGAAATTAGGTGCCATAAACCCAAAGAATCCAAATGGTATAAGCCAGCCACCCCAGGAGTACAGAACCAGGTATTCCCTCCACAGCAGTTCTATCCAACTAAACTTCGTGCAATGATCGAATCTCCACTGCTGCTTCTCCAGTGCAGAAGCAACAAGCCACATGTGATAACTGAACAAGTGAATTCCTGAAAGTGCAGGCACTGCTTAGCCCTTATGTGCACATGCTTCTTCTGAGACAGATACACCTGTGGTGGAGCTTAGCTTGTAGATTAGGAGTGACGGGACAAACGACAAGGACAAATAATAAGATAGTAGACCCATTTTCTGGTGGTGCTGTTGATCTAACCCAGGACCTTGCAATATGCTGGGCAAGGGCTCTACCGCCGAGTCACAGACAAGATAACTTTAATAACATGGTATGATAAAATATTTACAGGTTTTAATCATTTATCTTTGGATTTTCCATTTAATACTTTTGGAACTACAGTTGATGTTGGGTAACAAGCCACAGAGACTAAAACCGTGAACAAGTGTGACGGACTACTACAGAGTTAGTCCAATTCGTAACCAGAACGTTTTAGTTTAGCTCACTCTAATTCACTGATTTAAGAGAGCAGATGCAGTTAGTAGCTGCAGTACTGGATAGCATAGCTCCAGATGGCAAAAGAGGATTTTGGTGTTTAAGACCCAGTCCTTGGAGTCAGAATAACATATGAAGTAGACCTGGTCAGCCCACAGTCTGGACCAGAAGTTTGCTAACGTTTTGGATTAATTATTCCTGTTGTTGAAAAAAAAAATGGGGGGACTGGAGAGATGGCACAGTGGCTAAGAGTGCTTGCTACTCCTCTAGAGGATCTGAGTTCAGTCCCCAGAGCCCCTAATGGCTGCTCAGAACTGCCCGTAACTCCAGCTCCTGGAGATTGATGCCCTCCTCTGGTCTACGAGGGCATCCAGACACAAGTGTGCATACACACACACAAAGATACACACACACACATACACACACAAATAAATAAATAAATAAATAAATAAAATCTTAAAAAGTAAAACTGAGAGCTGGAAAGATGGCTCAGCAGGTAAAGGTGCTTCTACAAACCCTATTAACCTGAGTTTGATACTCCCAGGAGCTATAATATAGAAGGAGAGAACCAACTCCCTCATGTCTTCTGCATGTATGCTGTGGCCCATGCATGCCCATAATTTACTTACATACATACATATAAAAATTTTAAAAGAGAAAATCGAGCATGTTCTTAGACATTCCACTCATGCTGTTGCACTGTGTATATTATAAGATATGCATGTTATCTATGTTTTTATTGTTGTCGTCATTGTTAAAGTGCTGGGATCCAATGCAGGGTCTTGTAAATGCTAGGCAAGTACTTACCACTGAACTATACTCCTAGCCCTAAAACAGAGATTTTAAACCAATAAGCCAAAGCACAAAGATAAAAGTTCTGCATTTTTCCCCTCATATCCTAGTGGAATATGGAGACTATTGTTGAAGTTAGTTGATCCATTTTCTTTCTTGAAGTCTCAGGCCAGTCACTTTTCCACTTATGGGTCCCTGTTACTGGGTAAAGGATTACAGGATCTTTTGTGATGACATCTATTGGAATGAGGTCCTGAGCATTCCTTGTGCAAGGAGAAAGCTTTCTTACTCTTTAGGAATCCCTTTTGAAAGGGGCACAATACAGGAACTCTTAGAGAAATGCCTCTACCAGTCATGGCAACCGGTCCACCTCTGCTGGACAGCAGTGATGAGTGCACCATAACAATTTATTACATTAGACGTTGAGTCGTTTTGTTTCCCTGAGCCAGGATCATGCTATGCATTCCAACTTGGCCTCGAACTCACTACATATCCCAGCCTAGCCTAAAAGTGACTCCCCTGCCTCAGTGTTTTGCATGATGGTGTTACAGGCACGTGCTACCAGACCTGCTAGTGTATATGCTTTCATATATGGAAACTGAGGCCCAACACATCCACTAACTTGCTAAATAACTACAGCTATGAAGTGGCCCAACCAGGATTTAAATCCAGATGCCATCACAACCCCCACAAAATGAGAGATGCTCACCCAGACTTACAGTTGAAGAGGACATGGCAGTATGCACTGGTAATAAAGGCATAGCATGTGAAACTGGCCACCTCTGGGGAGCTTTAATGGTGGAAACAAATGGGCAATGAATGAATTTTGGTTAGTGGATACATTTTCAGAAAGAGAATTTTAATGTCTTCTTAAGAGTATAAGGATAGCCATGGTGGCTAAAACAGAAGTAACTTGGTTCTCACCTCTCTTCCTCAACTCAGGCTCCCTAGGGACCGCAGGCCGCGTCTGCAGCAAGACGTCTAAAGGGACAGACGGCTGCGAAATCATGTGCTGTGGCCGAGGGTACGACACAACTCGGGTCACCCGCGTCACCCAGTGCGAGTGCAAATTCCACTGGTGCTGTGCTGTGCGCTGCAAAGAGTGCAGGAACACTGTGGACGTCCACACGTGCAAGGCTCCTAAGAAGGCAGAGTGGCTGGACCAGACCTGAACACACAGATACCTCTTACATCCCTCCACTTCAAGCCTCCAACTCAAAAGCACAAGATCTTTGCATGCACACCTTCCTCCACCCTCAATCCTGGGCTGCTACAGCTTCTGTTATGGACTTGGAGAGTGATCCAGGGGGACCCCAATGTCCCGGCTGGTTCCTTAGCCCTAGGAAGGAGTTGATAGGGGATGGATATGGGAGTGAGTGGCTCCCTGCTATCCCACCTGGAGGTTTGAAGGGAGAGTAGAGGAGGTAGGAGTTCTCTTCAGAGTGATCTGAGTTGCACTAAAGTCAAGGCTCATTGTCCCCTTTGCTTGCACTGACTTCTGATACTCTCTGGGTAGGCAACAGGAAGGGAATCTGGAGGTAGCTTCCTTTTTGATCCTACTGTAGCCGAGGACATAGGACAGAGATAAACTGCCTGTCCCTTCATAGGAGACAGTGTGTGCAGACAACCTTAGGCTACAGTATTCTGCTGAGACCCCGAGGTAGCTAGATGTGTCAGCCACGGTGAATAAGGCTTCACCCCATGCTCTTACACAGCTTATAAACCAGTGATTTTGTGAGGGGAGAAATCACACAACTGTACAAATGCACATTCTCTGTCTCCTTTTTCACCTACATCAGTCAGCAGCAGCCTGCTACTGGCTGCTTGTTAGATGAGGTAGCTTGCAGTGGTTCAAAGTCTCAATAGACCGTTAGAGCCCTGGAACAGAACTGTGAGAGAATAGTATATTAAGCCTGGCTAGGCCTTGGGACTTCCTCCCCCATCAATTATTCTGGACATTAGGTAGGTTTGGAAAAGACTAAGTGAAGGGCAGGCAACTCATGGGCTCAACCTGATCTCAAGGGCTGCATGAGGATCAGTGTAGACCAGGAAGCTGGCGAGCTCTCCTCTCAGCAGTTCTTTAGGAGAGGACCTTCAGCATTGACGCAGGAGCAAAAGCATGTCGCTATGTAGAGAACGAGATGGTTCCAAAGTGGTAGACACCTTAGAAGACAGTAGCCTTCGCCCATTTACTCAGCAAATCTTTATTTTGTGATTCTCCAAGTCCTACTGATAACTACTGCCCATCCATGATGGACTTAAACAGGGGAGGGTTCCCTCTATGCCACTAGCCTAACTAGGGTTCACAGTAGTGGAGTCTTCAAAGGCAGCAGGTATGGAAAGCTAGAAGGTAGGATATGGGCTTTGAACTCTTGATGGCCTAGTTTTGTATGAGTACACAGTGATCATCTTGCCTACTGATAAACAGCAGTATTACAGAAATCCGCAGTCTGACAGGCCGAGGTTCGATGCTAGTCATTTACACACTCACTGTGTTTATTTTCAGCAGGCTCTTTCAATCCTCCGGGCCCGTTTTTTCAGCTGTAAAATGAGGGTGCATGCCTCGCTCAGATACTGAGATTTAACAGCCAACAGATATACGTCATCAAACCTCTGACTGATCAAGTACATCCTAACTTCTCTAGGAACTTCTAATTTAGGGTTGTCTGGTCTTGATAACAGACTGGAGATTAAGGAGCTTTTGCAAGGAATTCTGGATATCGGGCCTTGAGCTCTTTCCCTCCGGTCCCTCTTTATCCAATCGGGTTCTCAGATGTTTGTGGAGCAACTTCATTCTGCCCAGGCAGCAGGAGGTTGTGGGGGGCGGGGGGTGGCTCTGGCCACGGAGGCAGATTTATTTGGATGATAGGACTAATATTTGTGTAACCTGCTGAGACCTGTGTGGGAGAGTTTAGGGTGGTTTTTCTTTTGGTGAGGGGATTTGCTCCGGTTTCACATCCATTAACACAAAACATGAGCTAGTCAGGGCCCTTGTGGTCTGTGGTGAGGGGATGACTGTGGAGAAATGGGACCGAATGAGTCAGGCAGAGAGAATGTCTTCCTTGCAGAGTAGAGTCAACTGGATAACTGATGAGCTGGTGGTAGGATTAGGGAGGGGGAATGGGAGGGGAAGAGGAACTTCTCTTAAAAGCGGGGAAGCTTTGGGAGCAGGGGTGAAGACACCCAAGTTACTACATCAGTGATGGCATAGGCCTTCTACAGGAACCCAGCCTAAGTTCAATCTACCTGTGCTTTATCACCTACCCTTTGATTCGGGGTTCTTAGTTTATGGAAAGAAGTGGTAGTCCTCTGTGACAGTTCAGATTACTCCATGTTTCTCCCTGCACTCCAAATTCTAGCTGATAAAGATGCATAACCACTTATAAATGGTTGAGAGAGAAATGGCTGTTCAGGGAGTGAGAAGTTTGTAAAGTGAGGTGTTTATATGAGAGAAAAGATGTCTATCCAAGCCCTGCTACAGAAGCTGTGTGGCCCCAAGAAGGAATGATGGCCAAGCAATTAATTTTTCCTTAGAACTTAGCTTGTCTCTGCATTCCAATTGGCTTTAGACAACTGGCGTTGATTCTACACTATACAAACAGAAACTGATTTATTTGGAACAAGCAAAAAAACAAGAACTTTTCTTGGTGCTGGGGCTCCACATAGCTCTGCTCCGCCCTCATCTGTTCTGAAGGCTCATCTCCCACCTATTCCCCATGGGAGAAGTGTGTCCTCTACCAGTGTCCCCCACCTATTCCCCATGGGAGAAGTGTGTCCTCCACCAGCAGTCTCTCCCACCTATTCCCCATGGGAGAAGTGTGTCCTCCACCAGCAGAGTCCCCCACCTATTCCCCATGGGAGAAGTGTGTCCTCCACCAGTGTCCCCCACCTATTCCCCATGGGAGAAGTGTGTCCTCCACCAGTGTCCCCCACCTATTCCCCATGGGAGAAGTGTGTCCTCCACCAGTGTCCCCCACCTATTCCCCATGGGAGAAGTGTGTCCTCCACCAGTGTCTCCCACCTATTCCCCATGGGAGAAGTGTGTCCTCCACCAGTGTCTCCCACCTATTCCCCATGGGAGAAGTGTGTCCTCCACCAGTGTCCCCCACCTATTCCCCATGGGAGAAGTGTGTCCTCCACCAGTGTCCCCCACCTATTCCCCATGGGAGAAGTGTGTCTTCCGCCAGCAGTGTCTTAACCTCTCCCCCTTTCCCTTTCCCTCTTGTTGGTCCTCATTTCTTTTATCTTTTGGTAAACATTTAGTACAGTGCGCATTTCAGTAAGTGCTATTTGGATATAAAGTGAACTTAAAAGATACTGTTTCTATCTTTTAGGGATAATAGGATCTTTGGGGGAAGGCACGTGACTGAAGAACCTCAGCTGCACAGCCTGCAGCCAGTTTCTTTTCAATAGAAGAGCTGGGGTGATAGCTCACACTTGTAATCCTGACACTCTGGGAGGCTGATGCAGGAAAACTGCTGTGTTTGTGATCAGGCTGTGCTACACAGTGAGCTCCATGCTAGCCTAAGAAAGAACAAAGTAAGACCCTGTCTCAGACAAACAAACAAAACCCGGAAAGTAAGAATGCCCGTCACAGCCCCCGACGAAGCACTGCCAAATCATACTGATTTCAGCTCTAAAACATAGCATTCCTTCACACTCTCAAATAGAGTAAATGTAAATGTGAATCAGGGACTTGAGATTAGAAGAAAACACTATCCTGAGGGTCTGTTTGCTACAAGCTTTGTAGATCTAATTTTCGAACACTCTCAGCCTCATTTCTCTTCCTCTTTGCTGTAGGAGACTATTCTCCCCCTTTCTCTCACATCCCTTATCAAGAACGCCAACCACCAAGCCCCTTGCCAAATTCTTAGACCCCACTCAGGACATAAGTTTCTGCATGGCTTAATAGAAGACAGATAATCAGGATTTCCCACCCCCACCCCCGCCTTTCTAAACTTTTTATTTAAATGCTCTCAGTGGTCATAGGGCAGAAGCCCAAGCTAGCTGGGGATAAGGGAGACCGCCAGGGAGAGTATGTTTCTCATCCCTGGGAGGCATTCAGCCTAGCTCCTGCAGCCAAATTACAGCAGCAGAGAACAATGCAGTGCATTCCTGGGCAGGTCGGTGGGCCCTGGGCGCCTGGGTCTGGTGGAGAGAGGTGCCAGACACAGAGCGCTCCATAAGCAACCCTGCAGAGCTGGCCCTGGGTGCAGAAATGAAATACAGAGAGCCTCACATTACACACCTGGTTATTGATGGCCTTGCTGGAGGCCTCTGCCCCCACCTTCCGCTTGGGAACTGCCTGTACTGCGGGGGTTGGGCATCTTTGAAGCAATGCTGAAAAATAAGTAAGACGCGTTTCCTTTTTACTCTTTGCCCTTCCTGTCAGCCTGAGTGCAACCATGAGGATACACACATACATACGCACATGCAGAAGGTGCACGCAAAATGAGCTCACACAGCTTTTCTCAGCCTGTGTGGGAATTATCATAGTCTCACCTCTCCAACAATTAAAAACCAACATCTAGATCCCCCCCAAAATCATACCAACAACAGGGTCAGCTACAAGCGAGGAATGTTTCAAAACTACATTATCAACATGCAATGCAATGTTTGTTTTGGGAATTGGTACTCTCCCGGGAGGTGGTGGAGGAAGGACACGGAAAGGGCATGGAGAAGAGAGATCAAGGGTGGAGAATTACCACCCAAGCAGAGTGGCTGAGCCTGTGCAACTTCCCAAACCTGGTTTGCACGGGGGACGGGGAGGAGTGCATCCTCCGTGTCCTGACTACCCAGTCGCCTGTGACTGCTCTGAAGTCACACATAGACACTGAGCTTGGTGTTTATGATCCGCTGTTGTTTTAAACTTACCGGGCTAAAGAACAGGATACCTTTGGTTCCAGGAATGACCTCTGTAAGAGAGGCAGGTGTCTGAAGAGCAGGAGCAGTGGGTTTACTAGAGTAAAGATGTCACGGTTGCAGACTGAACTAGGCTTTCTCGGAGTTAGCTTTCTTTTTGGATGATTGACAGGTTTCACAGGTAGTAGACCTGAACTTAACCCCAAAGTTGAAAGGGATAGAGGGGTCTGAAAACTACTTTCCCCACTTGCATGCATAGCCTGGATTACCTCTGAGCATCACCGTGGCTGTTTACATAGGATGCTGTAGTCATCCAGGATTTAAAAATGCAAGATGGACAATCTCTGCTTTGCTCCCTGACGCTGAAGTACCTTTTCTTTGTTCACTTAGAGAAGCAGGACACAGGAGTTTTTTAACCAAAGAAGGCCAAAAATCCGATAACATTTTGTCAATACTACTGTCCTGTAAGCAGCCTTTGACAAATTCCAAGGTGGGGCTTCCCCAAGAATAACAATAATGCTCACAAAAGCCTTTTGAGCACAAAATGCCCGGGCATGTAGGTATAGATCTCACAATCACTCCAGGGGTTGCGAGGTGGGGATTGCTCTATTTTATGGAGTCATTCAGAGAGGTTCAATGAATGATCCAGCCAGAACACAAACCTTGCTTATTTATTTATTTATTTTTTCTTCTCGAGTCAGGGTCTCTCTCTGTAGTCCTGGCTATTCTGGAACGGTTTGTAGACCAGGCTGGCCTTGAATTTACAGAGATCCACCACCCCCCCCCCCAAATGCTAGGATTAAAGGCGTGCACCACTACAACTAGTTTTTGTTTGTTTTTAGCTTCAAATACTACATACTCTCCTCAAAGCCGGAGGATGCTGGGACTGGAGGTGTCAGCTTATCAACACTTCAGAACAGAAATTGATGTTAACAGCTCTAACCCACACAAGAATCCTATGCTGCCAGCAGAGTATCTGAGCAGAGTTTATAAAGGCTAGGACTACATTCCCCTAACCTGTAGACATCATCCGTTCCCACTGTTACTGTCACTATCCAGAGTCACTCTACAAAGGACCCTGTATCTCAACAGCTTTTGCTTGTCATTTTCTGAGGCCCCACTCCTCCATCCCTCAGATTAACATTAAAATTGTTCTTTTATTTCTCTAAATTCTTTTACAGTGGTGCTCAATGCATAGGCAGAGTCGGAGTAGTCATGAGAAGAAATGAGTAGACCCTGGGCTTGTATTGGAAGCTAAGATATTATCCCATCCAAGCCCACCTAAGAAACAGTATAAACCCCTGGACCACTCACTGAGACAGGCATTTCATCTACCAGTACCAGTTGTGTCTAACTTTGACAATATAATACAAAGTCTTCACTCGAGAACTGTGCAGTTAAGGTTTTTTTTTTGTTTTTTTTTTTTTTTAAATCACAAAACCTCTCATGTTTTAAGTAAGCTTATCATTTGAGTTGGGCTGCATTTAGTTATTGTTTGCTATGTGCTTCTGGGCTGTTGTCTGGATACATCTAAGACAAAGGATATCTATGATGCAGAGAAAAATCTCTAAGATGAGGCAGTCAGCAAATTTCATTTGACCAAAAGCGTGCTTTCCTCGGTTCCTCCTTCCGCCCTTACTCAAAATTTAATTGAAGACAGGAGAAGAGGTAGCTAGCTC